CGCCGTGGGAATTTTCTCCGGGAGGTGGCGCGGCCGCTTGGCTCCGGAAAGAAAGTCCGCGGATCGTCAGATGGAGACCCGAGGCGACGGAGAAGCCCGAGCTCGCTCGGTTCTGCCGAAGACTCGCTTTGCACGGACGGCCCCTGGCTGCCTGCCGCAGGGAAGCGAAGGCCAACAGAACGGCGTGGAGCCGATCAGATCGCGCCGAGGCCGGGGAAACTGAGGCAGCCGCGGGTGCAGAGCGAGGCCAGGTCCTGACGAGTGTTTCCCTTCTTCTCTTCTCTCCGTCTTCTTTCTCCATGGGGGTGGTGGGCTCAGTTGCACGGCTCGCTGCCCGTGTATCCGCTAATGGATCAAGTGTACTTAGCACTAGCCGCAGCTGTTGGTGAGGTGTGGAAGCGTCCGCCCCTGGTGCCGGGAGCACAGACAGACACACAGATCTGGGTCCCGGCCGCGCTCGAGTCCTCCGGATTCCGCGGGCACCTGCCCTCAAGCGCGCAGCAGCCCCACTCGGGGCTACCCACGCCTGCAGGTAATTAGAAATACCAGAAGTCAGTCTGTCTGAGTGGACTTTAATTACGTGTGTGTGTGTGGGAGTGTGAGTTCGTGCACGTGGATGCAGTACGTGTGTGTGTGTGGGAGTGTGAGTTTGTGCACGTGGATGCAGTACGTGTGTATGTTGGAGTGTGGGTTTGTGCACGTCTATGCAGTACGTGTGTGTGTGTGTGTGTGTGTGTGTGTGTGTGTGTTGGAGTGTGAGTTTGTGCACGTGGATGCAGTATGTGTGTATGTTGGAGTGTGAGTTCATGCACGTGGACGCAGTATGTGTGTGTGTGTGTGTGTGTGTTGGAGTGTGAGTTTGTGCACGTGGATGCAGTACATTGTGTGTGTGTGTATGTTGGAGTGTGGGTTTGTGCACATCTATGCAGTACGTGTGTGTGTGTGTGTGTGTGTGTGTGTGTGTGTTGGAGTGTGGTTTGTGCACGTGGATGCAGTGTGTGGTGTGTATGGGGGGGGAGTGTGAGTTCGTGCACGTGGACGCAGTACACGCGGAGGTCAGAAGAGGGCGCAGGAGGTACAGGCTGAGCGAGCTGACCCTCCAGCCTCCTGTTGAATTACTGCTATCGTCACTGTTACTCCTCTCCCTGGTGTTGGTAATGAAGCTCAGAGCATTTGCTATGCTAAGCAAGCCCAGCTAAAATTCTTGGTTAGTGTTGTGTTTCCTTTTACAGAGAAGGAGAGAGGTGTCAAGCCCCAAAGTCCCTTGAGCAACTGGCGGAAACGGTACAGCACGGCCGGAACCTAGATCTGTCTGTCTGTCTGTGCTCCTGGCACCAGGGATGTACGCTTCCACACTTCACAAACAGCTGCGGTTTGTGCTAAGGACACTTTATTAGAGTATAGATAGGTGGCAGTTACACCAGTCTGCACACGCTGAGCTCCCTATATGTTCTGTATGCTATAGAAAATGATCTACCATAGCTGGGGTACTGGCTAGCAGGTGCGTTCCTTTCCAACGTCAGCTGGAGAATTAAAAAGCAGAAGGACACAAAGTAAAAGTGAAATTCATTGGCGATCGATACAGGTATCTGAGGGAGGGGGACCCCCCTCCCCCTCCCCCCC